TTTCATTCTTTTTTATGGCTGAGTAGTATTCCACTGTGTGTGTGTGTGTGTGTGTGTGTATATATACACCACATCTTTTTTATCCATTCATCTGTTGATCAGCACTTACATTGCTTCCATATCTTGGCAATTGTAAATAATGCTGCTATGATGAACATTGGGGTGCATATATCTTTTCAAATTAAAGCTTTTGGTTTTTTCAGATATATACCCAGGAGTGAAATTCCTGGGTCATATGGTAGTTCTATTTTTAGTTTTTTGAGGAACCTCCATACTGTTTTCCACAGTGGCTAAGTTTATTCCTAGATATTTTATTTTTTGACACTATCTTAAATGGGATTTTTTTTTTTTTTACTTTCTGATATCTCATTGTTAGTGTAAAGAAATGCTACAGATTTCTGTATATTAATCTTGTATCCTGCTACCCTACTGAATTCATTTATTATTTCTAAAGTTTTTATTTGGAGACTTTAGGATTCTCTATATAGAGTATTATGTCATCTGCAAATAGTGAGAGTTTTACCTCTTCCCTTCTAATTTGGATACTTTTTATTTCTTGCCTGATTGCTGTGGCTAGGACTTCTAATACGTTGTTGAATAGAAGTGGGGAGAGTAGACATCCTTGTCTTGTTCCTGAATTTAGCAGGAAGGCTTTCAGCTTTTCACCATTGAATAGTATGTTGGCTGTGCGTTTGTCATAATTGGCTTTATCAGCTAAGATATGCTCCTCCTATACCCACTTTAGTGATAGTTTTTATCATGAACGAATATTGAATTTTATCAAATGCTTTCTCTGCATCTGTTGTGATAATCATGTATTTTTGTCTTTTTTTTTTTGGTTAATGTAGTGTATCCCATTGACTGATTTGAGTATGTTGAACCATCCTTGCTACCCTGGAATGAATCCAACTTAATCATGGTGTGTGATCCTTTATATGTATTGTTGGATTTGGTTTGCTAATATTTTGTTGATGATTTTTGCATCTATATTCATCAAAGATATTAGCCTGTGATTTTCTTTTTTGTAGTGTCTTTGTCTGGTTTGGGCATCAGGGTGATGGTGGCTTCACAGAATGAATTTTGGGGTGTTCCCTCCTCTTCAATTATTTAGAATAGTTTGAGAAGGATAGGTGTAAGTTCTGCTTTTTATGTTTGGTAGAATTCTGCAGGGAAGCCATCCAGTCCTGGACTTCTGTTTGCAGGGAGTTTTTTTTTTTTTTTTTTAATGACAGATTCTATTTCACTGTAGTGATTGGTCTGTTCAAATCATCAGTTTGTTCTTGACTCAGTTGTTTTGTTTGTTTTTGTTCTCTTTTTTTTTTTGCAGTACACGGGCCTTTCACTGCTGTGGCCTCTCCTGTTGCGGAGCACAGGCTCCGGACGCGCAGGCTCAGTGGCCATGGCCCACGGGCCCAGCCGCTCCGCGGCATGTGGGATCTTCCTGGACTGGGGCACGAACCCGTGTCCCCTGCGTCGGCAGGCAGACTCTCAACCACTGCGCCACGAGGGAAGCCCTTGTTCTCTTTTTACAACAACAGCAAATAGTTATTTTCACACAGTTTCTTAATGTCGGGAAGCTGGGAGTGGCTTTGCTGTGTGGTTCTGGCTCAGGGTGTCCTGGGAGGTTGCAGTCAAGCTGTCAATTGGAGCTGCAGTCATCTAGAGGCTTGACTGGGGCTGGAGGATCCAGTTCCAAGATGGTGCCCTCACATGGTGCTAATTGTTGTTAGGAGGCCTCAGTTCATCACCTTTTGAGCCTCCCTCTCCATGGGCTACTTGAGTGTCCTCAGGACACAGCAGCTGGCTTCAGTCAGAGTGAAGGCTCCAAGAGCAAGCAAGGCAGAAGTCACAACGTCTTTGCCAACCCAGCTTTAGCAGTCACACTCCTTCCTTTCCACAGTATCCTGTTTGTAGCAAGGTCAGTCTTATTCAATGTAGGAGGGTATGTAGGAGGTGAGGATCATTGGGGACCATCTTAGAGGTGACTACCGCAAACCAGTAGGTTGCTATGACCAGGATCTTTACTCTGCCCCTAGGTTTGCTTCATTGATGGCTCCAGCATGAAATAAAAGTTTTGATTTTTATGTGTTTTTTTGTTTTTATTTATTTTTATATCTTTATTGGAGTATAATTGCTTTATAATGTTGTTTTAGTTTCTGCTGTACAACAAAATGAATCAGCCATATGTATACATATATTATCAGGCTGTATGTTTCTAGAAACTTGTCCATTTCTTCTAGGTTGTCCAATATGTTGGCATACAACAATATAGTAGTCTCTTAGAATATTTTGTATTTCTGTGCTATTAGTTGTTATGTCTCCACTCTCATTTCTTATTCTGTTTATTTGGTTCCTTTCTTCTTGGTGAGCCTGGCCATAGGTTTGTCAGTTTTGATTATCTTTTCAAGAAACCAGCTCTTGGTTTTTTTTATTTTATTTATTATCTGTATTTTATTTCCTCTCTGATCTTTATTATTTCCTACCTTTTGCTGACTTTAGGTTGTGTTTCTTCTTCTTTTTCTCATTCATTTAGGTGGTACATTAGGTTGTTTATTTGAGATTTTTCTTGTTTATTGTGGAAGGCCTGTATTACTATGAACTTTCCTCTTAGAACCGCTCTTGCTTCATCCCATAGATTTTTGTAAGGTTGTGCTTGTGTAAGGTTGTTGTTTGTCTTGAGGTATTTTCTGATTTCTTCTTTGATTTCATTTTTGACCCATTGGATTTTTAGTAGCATGTTGTTTAGTCTCCTTGTGTTCATTCTTTTCCCGTTTTTCCTTCTGTGGTTGATTTCTAGTTTCATACCCTTTTGGTCAGAAAATATGCTTGAAATAATTTCTATCCTCTTAAATTTGTTGAGGCTTGTTTTGTGACCTAATATGTGGTCTATCCTAGATAATGTTCCATGCATGCTTGAAAAGAATGTGTATTCTAACTTTTTTGGCTGTAGTGTCCTGTACATTATCAACTAAGTCCAACTGGTCTATTGTGTCACTTAGGACCTCTGTTGCCTTATTGATTTTCTGTCAGGATGATCTGTCTCTTGATACCAGTGGGGTGTTAAAGTCTCCTACTATTCTTGTATTCCTGCCTGTGTCTCCCTTTATGTCTGTTAGTATTTGTTTTATATATTTAGGTGCCCTTATATTGGGCACATAAATGTTAATAAGTGTCATACCCTCTTCTTGTATTGATACCTTTATTTTTATATAATGTCCTTCTATGTCTTTCTTTATGGACTTTGTTTTTTAAATTAATTAATTAATTAATTTATGGCTGCGTTGGGTCTTTGCTGCTGTGCACGGGCTTTCTCTAGTTGCAGCAAGCGGGGGCTCCTCTTCGTTGCGGTGCATGGGCTTCTCATTGCGGTGGCTTCTCTTGTTGCGGAGCATGGGCTCTAGGTGCACAGGCTTCAGTAGTTGCAACACACGAACTCGGTAGTTGTGGCTTGCGGGCTGTAGAGAGTAGGCTCAGTAGTTGTGGTGCACAGGCTTAACTGCTCCGTAGCACATGGGATCTTCCTGGACCAGGGCTTGAACCTGTGTCCCCTGCATTGGCAGGCAGATTCTTAACCACTGAGCCACGAGGGCAGTCCTGGACTTTGTTTTAAAGTTTGTTTTGTGTGATATGAGTATCGCTACCCCCACTGTCTTGTTTCCATTGGCATGCAATCTTTTTTCCATCCTCTCACTTTCAGTCTGTGTGTGTCTTTCATCCTGATGTGCATTTCTTCTAAGCAGCATATTGTAGGTTCTTGGTTTTTTGTTTTGTTTTTTTTGGGTTTTTTTTTGTTTTGTTTTTAATCCAACCTGCCACTCTTTTTTTTTTATGGTTTTTTGTTTGTTTTTCTTTTTCGCGGTACACGGGCCTCTCACTGTTGTGGCCTCTCCCGTTGCGGAGCACGGGCTCCAGACGCGCAGGCTCAGCGGCCATGGCTCACGGGCCCAGCCGCTCTGCGGCATGTGGGATCTTCCCGGACCAGGGCACGAACCCGTGTCCCCTGCATCGGCAGGCGGACTCTCAACCACTGCGCCAGCAGGGAAGCCCAAGTGTCTTTATTTTTAAGAAGCACCCAGATTATTTTGATGCAGATTTGTTGAGAAATATTGCCCACTGAACTTCCTAGGAGAAGGCACAGGAGCTCTGCTTGCTTCCTAAGGGAAGAAAAGATGGGTGGTGGGGGGCAGATCTGGAGAAGTGAGGACATTGGCCTGGCGACCTGGAGGAGAGAAGCAGCCCTGAGGGCACTCACAGATGAAAGGGAGAACTGTGGCTATAGGGCCACCCTGGACTGACTCCTTGCTAGTGTCACGACACTGACTTGCTGCTACACTGTACAAGGTGGGGGACTTAATGTTGACCTCAGTTTATTTCTTGAAACTATCATGATGTCAGCCCTCCTCCTGGTATCCCTAATGTGAAAGTGGACACAGGGACGTCAAAGGAGGGGATGGCGGCTGTAGCAGCAATTCTGAAGCAGAGCTCAAAGAACTGGAGTTGCAGTGAGAGGGCAGGGTGGTCTAATGGCCTGCTCCGTGTCATGTACTTGGCGGGGGCTTGGTTGGGACACAGGGAGCACTGGGCAGCTCTTTGCTTTAGTGGCTAAAACAACTGCTCAGTTGACAGGTCTCTTAGGACCTAACTGCAGGAAAAAGATGGATTGGTTTTCATGGAGAAAGTTTAAGAAAACGATCTGTTCAGAAAGTTTCTTGATTCTTTCTGTATGTGGCGATGGCTGAGAAAGGCTGATCTGGATAATTGATTCACTGGACTGGGAGAGAGAAACTGGATTCTCTTTACAAATTACCCATGGTTAGTGGTGGCAGTTCAGTCAGGTGGTCTCTTGGTGCCAGTTTAAGGTACCTATAAATTGATTCTCAAGGAGTAATATGTTAGGTGGAATATGCCTGTGATTGATCCCTAGAGAGTAATATGTTAATTAGATGGAGTATAAGCACTGGCATCTCTAACCTATAGGAAATGAATATTTTCCTTGTCAGGGTTCAGAGAAGATGTGCATTGAAATCATCTCCCTGGCATTCCACCCAGAGGCTGAAGTGATATGTGATGAGAATGTAAAACAGGTGTACGTGGAATACAAGTTCTATGATCTACCCTTGTCAGAGACGGAGACTCCAGTGTCCCTGAGGAAACCAAGAGCAGGAGAAGAGATCCACTTCCACTTTAGCAAGGGTGAGGCATCCCTGGTGAACAGCCAGGAGAGGAGGCTGACAGTCATTTAGTCTGAGGGGTCCAAACTACTCTGGACTTCTGTTGGAGTGGACCCTACTGTTTTATTTTCTTTTATTTATCAAAGTAATATATGCATATGGTTTTAAAATATCAAATAGGCTTAAAAAGATTTTTGATTAAAATATAGTCCTTTGCTCCACTCTTTCTCTGCAGATCACTCCCCCTCACCCCTCCCTGACCACCCCCCTCAGTCCACCACACCACTTTTCACTTTTTCTGCTATTTCTTCTGTTATTTAACCCCATGTTTCTGAGAAATGATTCTATTGCAATTTCCTGATTCACTAATTCATTTCCTGATTCAGACATTATCTGTTGACTTCCTATCTTGGCAAATAAAACATCTCTCTTGTATCACACCCGTGCTCCCATATAGTTGGATCATAATTTAAACTTAATTTTTAATTAATCGTAATTGTTTCTATTATTATGGATGTGTAAACAGTCTTGCAGGGCCAAGTTTTACACCATGATTATAGTCTCTTTCTTGTTTATATTTTGTTTGTCTCAATTTTTCATTTGCTTTATTTTCATTATACCTGTTGGGATTCTTTCTACATCCTCCAGAAGCCTTTTAAATTTTCAAATAATCAAACCTGTCAAATAATTTATCTTTTTTTTTTTTTCCTGAAGATCTCTCTTTATCTTCTTGTTCCTCTTTAGCACACTGTTCAGCTATTATCCCACTGCTGCCATTTGTAGAGTTTAATTTAATTCTATTTTATACTGGATGTTTTATCTCCTGGGTCATGTGTCACCCTCTGATTTATTATATTTTCTAGTAGCTTTTAAAGAAAGAATACACTGGAAGTAAATATTTTGAGATAGTCATGCATGAAAATTCTGCCCATATATTTGATTGATAATTAGACTAAGTATAAAAATGTATGTTGAAAACATTTTTCATTCAGAATGTCAAAGCAGTTGGTCCATGGTCTTTGGGTCCAGGCCTGGAGTCTAACGCTTGTATGAAGACTACCCTCTACCTCCCCAGAGGACTTTAACATTTTTTCTTCATTTTTAGTGTTCTTAAATTTCAGAATAATGTGCATATATTTTCTTTCATTGTTCCGGCCATTCAGTGGGCTCTTTAAATCTGGAAGCTCATGGCTTTTAGTTCTGGGAAATTTTATTGCATTTCTTTGATAACTTTTTCCCCCTACATTTTCTCATTTTCTTAGTAGAATTTTGGATCTTCCAAACTGATCCTCTAATTTTATCACTTTTCTCCTATAATTCTACCTCTGTTTTTTTCTTCCTTTTTTTTTTTTTTTGGAGGGGGTGATTTCCTTAATTTTATCTTCCAGTCATTGACTAGGTATTTATTTTAAATTTCTAAAAGCTGTTTCTTGTTCTCTATCCCCCCCCCCCACCTCCCCCCCCCCCAACCCTTTAAAAAAGTGTATTCTTTCTTTACATCATAGGAGATAGAAGTTTTTCCCTCACTTGTGTAAAGTGAGCTCAAGGGTGGGCAGTCCAGGGTTGAGGCCACGTGATCAGGATCAGGGATCCAAACTCCCATCTTGCCTTCCTGTCCCCCTCGTGCCTGTCTTCCATCCTTTCAGATGCCTCATGGTCCTTAATAGCAGCTGCAGAAAGGAAGGCTGCCTCCCAGTTTCACACACCACGGTGGGCAGAACTCAATCATGTGGCCAAACCTAGCTAAAATAGAGGCTGGAAAACACAGGCTAATTTATTTGTCTGCAACAGTCCCATGTAGAAATGAAGAGGAAGAGGGGAATGGATGTTGAGACCCTGAGTTGAACCTACCTCAAAATCCAAATCTCTAGGCGGCCTTAAAAAAAAAAAAAAAAATCAGTCTCCTAGAATTCTTCAAGTTGGGCAGTGGTGGGAGCACGTTTATCCTGGCATTTGGCAGGACAGCTTCCAACACAGAGTGTAAGGCTTCCTTTATATCAGCGGTCGAAGCATTTTCTTAAAGGGCCACATAGTAAACATTTTAGGCTTTGTGGGCTAGTCTCTGTCACGACTCTTCCACTCTATCATTGTAGTTGGAAAGCCACCACAGATAGTATGTAAACAGATGGCTGTGTTCCACAAAACTTTATGAAAACAGGTAGCTGGCTCATGGGCCCAATTTTGCCAATGTCTGCTTTATATCAATGTTTTACACATACCATTTATGAAAGTTTTAGTGCCCAAATAGCAACAGTATATGATTCTTTGCTTTTTTCCCCACTTAACCCTTAATACAGTGATAGACCTGGACCCAGTGGAGCAAAAAGACCGAAGGCAGTTTCTGTTCGCCATGCTGACTGGACAAGATCCTGAGCAGGGACAGTAAGCAACTGCTTCCCGCGCTGAAAGACAGGAGGCGGAGACGCCACACAGGAATTCAGGAGTTTGAGTTTGGCTTTGTGGTGATACGGAATATTTTAATAACTTCTTTCATATTAATATACTCCTAATGAATTTCCCATCTACTTGAGTCTAATTTATGTTTGTGACTAACGACCTGATAAATTATGTCATCTCACAGGATTAGTTCATTTCTCACCCGTGCCAGCCCCTGATAAGCACTTTTTTTTTTTTTTTTTTTGAGGAAGCAATTTACTTGAATACTTAGTGCCCCCTACGGAAAGGACAAAACGCCTTGACACTCTAGGATGATTTGATTCATTTCTCTCAAACATAGTACCATACCATTGCTAGCTTACCGAATATTATGCCTTTATAATAGCAATTTTATTTTTGACTTAAAAATGATTTCTCTACAGGAATACTTTGAAGTAAATTCTGGGTCTACTGTAAGTTTTAGGAAAGCCAATTGTCATTATTCATATAATCTGAGGAGCCCTCCTTTTAGAGGTTCCAGATGAAATGCATGGGATATATATATATATATAGACTAAAAAATTCCTCATTTAGCTGAATTTTGAAAATCAAATTTAAGTGGACATCTGGGTTTTCTTTTGTTTTTGGCAAAATCTGGCAACCCTACCTCCTTTTCGTGTGTGTGGGTAAGAAGTAGTATGGGACTGGTGTTCTAATCCATTACTTTTCTAACAGCCCAATAAATTTAATTTGCATTTACTTTGTCTCCAGTTAGTCCTAAGAAGGACTGAAAAAGGAGCCAGTTGAAATAAACCGTGAATCTGACTTCAGTATCACGGTGGACTTAAACAGATATAAGCTTACTGGTAACTTTTGGAAATGGAAAGAGATTTGGTCGTTTCTCTTTTGCGTTAATGTTAAATTTAGCTTTTTCTTTTCTCCTCTCAGCATTCCTACAACTCTCTCTTCCTTTGTTCCTTTACAGTGGTAATCTTTTTCTTTTCTTTTTGTGATCTTCTACTCAATTTGATTTCAATTGATTTTACCTTTGATTTTCTTTTTGCCTGTATGATACAGCAGATAGAACATTGCCTTTGTAATCACACAGACTTGGTTCTGAATCCTGACTCTTCCACTTACTAGCTCTGTGATGTTAGACGTATTATTTAATTTGAAGGCTCCGGTGAGGATGATACTGAAATAACATAGTTTACCTAAAGCACTTGCTATTGTGCACGTGATGCGGTGATGTGAGTTACCATACATTTCCTGGGAAAATGGGTGGAGGAGTCAGTATTATCCCTTTGCTTTGTTGAAGTTCTCACTACGGATACAGAAACATAATCACAAACGAATATTGCTTAATGACTGTGAATGCATCACTTTCAGGATTTCTTCTTTTCAGCTTAATCGCGTTTAGCTGCGATTTAAAACGCTTGAATTTTTGGTGCTATTCTTGCTCCCTTAGCACTTTCTATTAGCCACCAATGTTAGCTTTTAAAAAATTAATAGGAATATGAAATGTCCAGAATAGGCAAACCCAGAGAGACAGAAAGTAGATTAGTGGTCACCAGGACTGAGGGAGAGAAGAGTGGGGAGTGACTGCTTAATGGGTATAGATTTCTCTTTGTGGTGATGAACGTGATCTGAACTTAGATAGTGGTGATGGTGGCACAACATTGTGATTATACTGAGAAACACTGAATTGTACCCCTTACAATGGTTAAAATAGTAAGTTTATGTTATGTAAACTTTACCTCAAAAAATTTAATAGGTATCAGTTTCTGGAATTCAATATCATTCTTTGCTAGACTAAGTCAAGGTAATAATAGTCAGCCTTCTGTTATCTGCAGGTTCCCCCCCGCATCCATGGATTCAACTAATGGTGGATGAAAAATATTTGAAAAGAACAATTCTAGGAAGTTCCAAAAAGCAAAATTTAACTTTGCCATGGACCGGCAACTATTTATGTAACATTGACATTGTATTTACAACTATTTATATAGCATTTACACTGTATTAGGTATTATAAGTAATCTAGAGGTGATTTAAAGTATATTCTATATGCAAATCCTACACCATTTTATATAAGGGACTTGAGCATCGGTGGGTTTTGGCATGAGGTGGGTCCTGTAATTGCTGTTAACTGCTCACTGCTTAGGAGGAACCGTGCTGTGTTCTTTACAGTATCATCTTCCAAGACTTACAACTCTAAGGAATACACCTTTTATATTCATTTTGCAATTCTATATTCCTTCTGTTTCCTTTACTCTGCTCAGGCTTGGCATAACACTTTTATTTAGAAGTGTAAAACCTCTTCTAACTTCCATAATCTTGGTTTTTGTTCAACACCTCCACTGCCCATTTCAAATCTTTCAGCAAAACTGTAAACCATCTTAAAAGGAATTATATCTCAACAGTTGAGACAACTTGATCAGCTACTTTACCTCAAGTCTTAGTTCCTTCCAGACCTGTTACTTTAAATTAAAACGATTTCTCAGTCTTTTGCTGTTGTAGTCTTGTAAAATGGAGGAAAGGGATTCAGGGAATACAATGTGTAATTTATGGTTACTTTTATCTTTTTTTTTAAATTATTTTTTTAAGCCTAAGGGTATCAGCAGTACTGAGTTAAATGGATTTTTTTTCCCCTTTAGTTTAAAGTTTACAGTGGTAAGTGACCCTATGGATGAGGAAAAGAAAGAATGTCAAGAAGTAGGCTACGCATATCTGGAACTGTGGCAGATCCTGGAATCGGGAAGAGACATCCAAGAGCAAGAGCTAGACAGTGAGTGATACGTTTCTGTGCTCCTCAGTTCCACTTATGTCTAAGGAAATCATCCTAATAGTGAATACATTTTGTTTTACCTTTAATACATAATTACCACTACAAAGTTGATGAGACAATCTGGATTGAAATCCCTACAGCTATATTTATTTCTAGATCAAGTATGAATGTCATCAGTTGTGTATCTTAGCCCACATACCTCCTGGCAACTAGAATCTATTATGAATCTCCAGTGTTTGAGACATGGAAATTTTGAAAAGACACGTTGTTTTGATTTCATTCAAATTTAAACATCAGACTTTCTCACCGCCCTTATTGACTCTGTTCTGAAAACTGTGTACCTTGTTTCCTCTTACCCAACCAGAATGGTCATGCTTGATTCTAATCTCTTCACTCCCAACATTTCAATCATAAAATCCTATTAATTTTACCTCTTAAGTGTTCTGAATCTGTCCCCACCTCCTCTGTTAAACTTCAGAACCCTTTTTTTCTCTCCTGAATTACTCACTCAACAGCCTCATGACTACCTTCCCTGATCTACTTGTGCCCCCTTGGAATATATTCCCCAAAGAATGGACCCGCTTTTCTAGAACCCAGATAAAAAACTGTAATTTCTAACCCCTTCAGTTAAAACCACATTCCTTACAAGACAAATGGCTTGTTGTGCTCTGGCTCCTGCTTATCAGTACAGCTTCATTTCTGCCATTTCTTAGTTTTCCAAACTTGTCCTCCTATCTTGGCACATGCTGTACATGCTTAGAATATCTTTTACTTTTTGAAGACTAATGGATTGTCTCCAGAAAGCCTTTTCCGATTCTGCATTCTGGATTGGTGCCACTTCTATGTGTTCCCAAAGCACCTACCATACTATACTGTAATGACTGTGTGTTTTCCATCGTCTTCCACCAGATTAAGTCCCACTAAAATATGAGGTATAACTTTATTTAGTATCCCCAGCACTTAATGTGGAAAATACCAGGTATTTAAGTGTTTGTTTTTCAATGAATGACACTGCTGTCTCACATGTTTCTTTTTCCTTTCCCAACAGTTGTTAGCCCTGAAGATCAGGCTACCCCCATAGGAAGGCTGAAGGTGTCCCTTCAAGCTGCTGCCGCCCTCCATGCTATTTACAAGGAGATGACTGAAGATTTGTTTCTGTGATGGGCAAGTGCTATTCCATTCTAAACCCTGAGGGAACCATAGTAAAAAGTCTCTTATAAAGCAACTTGTTCTACCATGAATTTGGTTTACTATGATGTCTCAAGCTAATGATGAAAGCTCAGAATGATGAAAGTTTCTTTCTGAGATATTAGCTGGATTAAGGGAATTATTCTCTAATGGCTTGGTACTTTTCCAGGCGAGAAGCAGGCTTGCTTTCAGGAACTGCAAAAGAACTGTCACAGAAGGTGAATTTACAAAAACAAAACAACAACAACAAAAAAAAAAACCACAGTTTATTATCTCTTAGTTCTTCCAAAATTGAAAATATCAAGTCCTACTGCTAAGGAGAAAATAACAAACAAACAAACAAAATCCGAGACCCCTCCCCCCTCTTCTCTTAAAGTCACAGAACACAGGAGGAACTGCAGTGGGACAGGTGGGTGCAGAGAGAACCAGGAGGGAGAGGATGGCAAGATAAACTCCCCAAATACTTAAAAAGCTGTTCAACAGAAATTGTGATAAATACAGGACAATGCGAGACAAGTAAAAACAAGGAGCAGCAGTGACGAGAGGCTGTGTTGTAGATGTGGCCTCTCTTCCTCTTCTCTTTTCTCGTCAGGGTATTCGAGGCCCAAGGCATGACTTACCCCTTCCAGATCTAAATGTTGACTCCTTCGAGCCTCCTTCTAGATTTTCACTAGAAGCAGTACATGAGACACAGCCATTTTTCCTCATATATCAGAAGAAAAAAACCAGTGGTATTTCTGCTTCTACCATTGTACCATGTGTGAATTTGTAAAGATGATGAAACCAAGCCAGGGAGTATCACTGCTTCTTATGTCTTCCAAGGCAGCAGAAATACCTCAGAATCTGCATGAGGCAAGAGAGCAGGAGAACTCAGGTGGAGGTACCAGCCTGATCAGACTCACTAGCTCAAGTTGTATGGTTTACACCATTAGCAAATTCCAAGAACCTTTTCTTGAGTACTGCAAAGATGGAACTTAAAGAGATGTGAGGAAGATCATGGCAGTAGGGTAGGATGGAGGATTGAATCTGCTGGTCAAGAACCATGGTACAGGTAGTTAAGGGTCACCTTGTACCAATGTCTTGGAAACACGGCTTTGAGACATCAAAGAATAAGATGTCAGAAGCCAACGATGTCCTGGCAGAAGGTGACAGGAAGAGAGAGGAACGAAACGGTATTTATTAACAGCGGAAGCCTCTGCCCTTCTTCAAGAACACCTCCTCCCTTGCCATCTGGATGGGGCCATTGGCACGTGTCCTGGTGGGCCTGGAATTCCCCAAGTAGATTGGTCCGCACAAATGGCCCCCTAAACCCATAAACACAAATGGCAAAACTTCAAAAGAAAAAAAGGAAAAATACAGTTTCTATGTCATGTAAAATTTTCAGGGATTGGCTGAAGGAAGAATGGAGCTGAGGGCCAAAGTTCCGAAGTTACTTCCTCTTTTTCTTGGGAGGCGCAGAGCTGTGTCTGGAACCTCGGTTAGAGCCTCGGCCTGAACTGTGCACAGATGCCTTCCTCTTCCGGCTCATACTGCGACTCTGTTCCTCTTCCTCCTCATAGCGACTTTCACGGTCGGCTAAACAGAAGAATGTGGCACTAGTTAGCTAGACGTTAGCTTTAGGTATCTAACACTGTTGGACACAGCATGAAATAATACAGAGAAGGTACTTTGGAGTCAGTTTTAATCTTTACTCAGCTGCTTACTAGTTGTGTCATCTTGGGCAAGTACTTAACCTTTCTAAGCCTTGGTTTATTTATAAAATGGAAAACTGTTTTAGGATTAAAGGTAATCTATGCAAAGGACTTATCACAATGCTTGGGATACAGTACAGTACTTTCCTTTTCAACTTTCATTTACATTTGGCATTTGGTTTCAGAGTAATTAAAACTAGTACTACAAAAACATTCCTAACCTGGAAGAGGCCCAGAAAGCTAGACTATTATAGAACTTAGATTTGGAGACCAAAAGACTATTATAGGACTTAGATTTGGAGACCAAACAGCCTAATTTTGGAGCCTTACAAGACTATCATGGCTAAGGGCCCACCGGGGGGGTTGAGCAGATGAAAAAAGCATCCAAGTCGGCAGAGTTGTGCCACCTGGAGAGCATGGACACACTCCAGACCTCATTTTCTTCTCTGGTCAATGAAGTTGTAGCTGTGGCTCCACATTAGTTTTATATTGTTCTTATGCTACTCTTATTCGGCAAAAAATATTGAAACCTGTGCCTCAAAAAAATAAAACAACAACAACAAATCTACCTTTTCGGGCTTCTTCCTCCAGTTCATCCCAATCCTTTCCACTCTCTTCTTCACTGCCCAATGATTCCTTGGAATAATCTGCAATAACATTGATTAAGCATTATTTATTAGACAGGAATGGAAAATGGAATGATAAAATTCTTCCCTTCTAAAGCCTCCAGAAATGACATTAGGTTAAGAAGCCATGAACACTTTTTCCTACGAAGACTAACCTGATTCTTCAGCTTCTGATGAATAGTCTTCATCACTGTCCTCCTCCTCTTCTTCATAGTCATCCTCTGAAGGATTAAAAGTCTCATCTTCGATTTCAGACTCAGAATCCCCTTCCTCAGCATCACTCCCCTGGTGAATTAGAGAGAGCATAATACTGTACACTGGGTGTTTTCCTTTTTTTTTTTTAAACACTTACTTTATTAACTTAATGAATTAATTCAACCCACTTAGCACACCAGCATTATTTCTATTTTACATGAAAAGATGAAACAAAAACACCCAAACCCGAGTGACCAAGAGATACAAAGACTTAATTAAAATTAATATAAGGTACAATCACTAGATACCCTAAATATCTCATTCATATTTCTTAGAGTCACTTCATCCTTCTTTACCCAGGAAAATTAACCACAGACATACTCTTGGTAATAATGCACTACACAGAGGTAGGAGGGCAATTTTTTAGAAAACAATTTTTGCAAGATTACCTGAAGAATTTTCTCCCAATACTAAGAAATTCTTTGAAGGAACAGTTTTTGTAATCTCAAATCTTGTCAGTGGCTACCAATGCCCAATTAATTTATCATTTACCTGTAAAACTAACTTGGAGAAACAACAATACCAAGTTGTATTCAGAGCTTCTCCCGTTTGATCTGGTCCCTTGCGTACTACTTATATGGCATTCTCCCAACCGCCCAAATGATAATGGGCAACACTATGTACCAGAAAAGAAACCCCACACTCACGCACCTCACCCTCAGGTTCCAGAAAAGACCAGCCACCTTGTTCAAAGAAGCCCTCAGGGTCATCAACAATGGTCTTCATAATTTTAGTCCAGTTGAGGGACTGTACTCCTTCTGTGTACTTTAGGTCACAAGAACTGGGAAAAATAACATTATAAAGTCAAAATCAATCCTCTATACTTTGTGAGAACCTCCCGTGTCATCTTGGTCATTAACATCTCTAAAGAGCAGATACCCTTTGCATACTTGGGAGCAGGTATTCTTTGCGCTGTGCCACCACAACGTACCCAAACATCTGATGTTTGGTCTCCCAGAGCACTAGCCCTCACGAGAGAGCACCTTTTTTTAGTATTTAAAGTGCCTTGTGTTAAGAAATGCTCTAATGACATTTATTCACGTCTACTGAGGAGCACAGAATCAAAGTGGGTGGGAAAGAAGAGAAAAGAAAACCAAAAAACAATAATAGTAAGGACCACAACAAGAAACCTTCAGCATAAAACCTGTCTGAAAGACTAGCATCAAGCCATTATGGGCACAATCATAAACACTGAAACTTCTGCTTCTAGCCATGATGGGAGTGCCAAGGACTAGATTTACGTTTGCACCTTAAACAACCAGAAAACCAAACAAAATATGGAACAACACTTTTCAAACATTGCATAAAAAGCAGCACAGGACTAAAAAATCCCTGTGGAACTACACAATGGAATGAACAGCATCAGGAATGGTAAATATGTGAGTAAATATAAAAGTCTTTCCCCTACTCATTTTGTAAATTAAAGGATAGCTGTTTAGAAGCTAAAATAATAACAATAAATTGTGGAATTCACAGTATATTAGAAGTAAAATGGATGATTAATAATAGCAGAAAGGATAGAAGTAGAGAAATGGAAGCATAACAACCTTCTAACAGACATGGTATATTATCTGAATGCAGACTGTGATAAGTTAAAGATGTATATGTAAACCTTACAGTAATCATTATAAAAGTAAAACAAAGATTTGTAGAGCTAATCAGCGAACTAGGAAAATAATCATAAAGAATCATAAAATTAATCTAGGGACAACTCCTGGCGATCCAGTGGTTAAGACTTCACCTTCCAACGCAGGAGGTACGGGTTCCATCCCTGGTCAGGCAGCTAAGACCCCACATGCCGTGCAGCCAAAAAACCAAAACATAAAACAGAAGCAATACTGTAACAAGTTCAATAAAGACTTTAAAATTGGTCCACATCAAAAAAATCTTTAAAAAAAAATCATAAAATTAATCTAAAAGAAGGCATAAAAAGAGAAGAAAAGCAACAAGAACAGATGGGAAAACAAATAGCAAGATGGTACATTTACTGGTGGTCCAGTGGTTAAGAATGCACCTTCCAATGCAGGGGATGCAGGTTCGATCCCTGGTCAAGGAACTAAGATCCCACATGCTGTGGAGCAACTAAGCCGGTGCACTGCAACTACTGAGGCTGCATGCCACAACTACTGAGCCCATGCACCACAACTAAAGAGAAGCCCACGTGCTGCAACAAAAGTCCCGCATGCCACAACGAAGATGCTGCAATGAAGATCCGGAGTGCAGCAACTAAGACCCAAAGCAGGTAGGTAGGTAGGTAGATAAATTGACCTTCTTTAAAGAAAAAAAAGAAAAAAAAAGAAAAAAAAAAAAAGATGGCAGATTTAAACCCAGCCATGCTAATAATTATGTTAAATGTAAATGGCCTGTTTTTAGCAATCCCATTAAAAGGTAGACATTCTCAGAATGGATTAAAAAAAGTAAGACCCAAATATATGGTGTCTCCAAGTAAATCACTTTACGTATAA